CTAACCTCAAACTAAAACACAAGGTCCACTGACCACACTCAAATGTTTGAGGTGGGAGGGAACCAGCGGCCATCTGGTCGCTCGCCTGTTTTAAAGTTCTAAAAGCACAAAACTTTCAGAGAATGTGAGCTCCTTCACTAAAACCCATTAAAAGCCAAAAACACACAAGGAGCATGTAGGGGAGATGGCACAGAATTTCTTCTGGCAGCTCTGCCTTTAAAGCTGCTAGGGTGGATGATCAGCTGATGATGTGCAGCTGTGCCAGCTGAAGGGAGAAGCAGGTGATTTGAGTCATGCAGCTCCTCCTTCGACAATAATAAGGTGGCAGGCATAACATATATAAAAAAACAAAATTTACAATTTGATGCTCTTATTTTGATGAGTAACCCCTTCTTTCCACCAGATGTGAAAGCGTCGTAGCAGCGAAACGCACTTCGTGGTGATTAGCAGCCATTATAGTGGACGAGTTCCTTTACACCGGCAGCAAAGTGTAAAATTTTGGACGTGTCCCAGAAGCGAAGGGATGCTATCATTATGTTTTGAGTCTATTTTTGATGCTCTATGATTCCAGAACATGTCAAACAAGTTTGGGTCGGGCCAGATAGGATGTCAAACTTGAAGCAGTGTAAAACAAAAACGTGGGCTCACAATTTCCTGCATGTTTGGCTGATGCAAAGGGCTGGCTGGTGTCCAATTTCGTAAAATTAAATGAGTTAAAGTCTGAGTCTATCGTTTTAACTCTGAACCCTAAACAGTACGTAACTAGTCTCAGGGTAAAGCTGGATGCCGACCTCTCAATGGCCCCACAGATGGTGAGGTCTTGGTTTTATCAGTTACGCCGCTTAACTTGTCTAAGACCAATCCTGAAGTGGAGGCACCTGGAATCAGTCATCCAGGCTTTTATCAACTCTCGCCTGGACTATGCAAACACTCCTTGTAGGTACTCCTGTGTCTGCCCTGAAGCGGCTGCAGATAGTCCAGAATGCTGCTGCTAGGTTCCTGACTAACACGAACCGACGTAACCATATCACCCTGGTCCTGGCATGTCTCCATTGGCTCCATCACCTTCCATTTACAATTTAGGTTATTGACTTTTGTTTTTAAAGCGCTTCATGACCTGGCACCTCCTTATCTGTCTGACCTGCTCACCCCTTATGTGCCTATGCGCACGTTGAGGTCAGCTGATCTCCTGCTGCTCTGCACTCCCCAGATGTGATACAAATCTAGGGGTGAACAAGCTTTTGTCAATGCTGCTCCCAAGCTGTGAAACTCGCTTCCCGTTACAGTTTGGCAGGCTCCCTCTTTGGCGGTTTTGTAATTAAAGACCCACTTTTATTGTTTTATTGTTTTAATGTGTTTCTTATTGTTCTAATTGTTTTCATCTGTTATTACTGTTCAGTAGTTTTTTATCCTCATTGTTTTTGCCTTTATTCGGTTTTAATTGATCCTGCCGGAGCAGCACTTTGGACAGCTCCCATAAAAAAACTGGTATGGTGTAAAGAAACTTTTAAAATAAAAGTCACATGCAGGTAAACGTATGTAATTTTCTTAGTGATGCACCGATATGGCATTTTTGGGCCAATTTCCGATATTAAGATCACTGTTATGGCCGATAAGCGATATTTGCCGATACCGATAAACTGACATTAATGCTTCTAAAATCAGCAGATTTTGTAAAGAATGAAAATTATTAAAGCCGAATTTACATTATTATGCACACACAATACATACATTTACGGTTCTGAGATGATTTTATTCACTGTTCACATGACTAAACAATTACACATCACCTCCCTCACCCTCTGAAACAGGCAAACAAATGGAGATGCGATGGAAAAAATATCCATTGTTAATATCTACCCGGTTTTGTTTATCAAACTGATACCGATATGTTAAAAAATGACTAATATCGGCCGATACCGATATTGATGCCGATATATTGTCCATCCCTAAATTTTCTGCTAAATCCTCGTAGCAGATGTAAACCGATCAGTAAATAAACCAGACTTTTTTGGATACACACAGCTGTCTTTCTCCCTTCTTGTTTTTGTGTGGACTTCTGAAATCACATGTGGTGTTGCGGTTCTCCCGTGATTTTGTGACTTTGCTGGGCCAGCGGCGTGGCACACTTTTACTCCCGGTTGGGCGGGAGCTCATGAGTAAAACGCTGCCATTGCGTTACACATCGTTTTCACGTCTGGTGGAAAGAAGAAGTCATGCTGCAGCAGCTTTGGTATGTTTTTGCCCAAAGAGCCAAGACAGAACTCAAATATTACTTATTTTAAACAATTTACATTTTTGACCGAATTAATGGCCAATTTAGATTTTTTTACAGCATTATTCTATTAGGATTAAAATATATATTTGCTTCAGGATTTAAACTAGTTGAAGTTTAAATCACAAAATAAAGTAACTGTAACCCTTAACTGTATCCTCTTTGAAGGTGATACTAATAAAAATAATCAAAGTTTACGCTAAAAATTACTTTTTTGCATTAATGGAAAAGTTGGTTGATGAAATGATCCATTTATAACTAAATCCTCTTATATTGGGCTGTATTCAATTTACGGCCGGGTATCATATTTTGGCCGGTGTCGGAGTCGGCGGAGGTGAATAATGGCCGTTTTTTTATTGTGGCCGGGTGGAATGTGGTAACAAGCAAGTACCACGGTGGGGGGGGGGGGGGGGGGGGGGTTGTGTCATCCGTCTCACTTTTGATTTGCCAGTGATAAAACGCGAGGGTAACTTTAACCGTGCGGAGACGAAGAGGAGGCGAAAATTTGATATCAAGTTCAAAGAGAACGTGCTGATTATGCTGCAGAACACTGGGGAGCAGTAGCAGGGGTTGTATGAACTAGTCACTAGTCGACTTCACCGCTCTATAGTGACTTTTCATGCCTGTCATCGACTAGTCGCTGTCACGTGATAATGACCGGCAAGATGCAGTCCTCGGAAAAAACAGCAGCCTGCTGTCAGCAGGTGACAAGCTCCTGCGCGTCGGGAGGCAACGCGCTGTGTCAGAGCGTCGGTACTGACACCCGCCGTAAAACGGACATTTAACCAAATTGTGACAGCCCTCTTGCAATTTAACCTTCCCCTCACCCCCATCCTAACCTTAACCAGCTTGCGCATGCAAAGCTCTGATTGTTGACGCGCTCCAGACATCTGCGTCCTGAGCACGGCCACAGTAACATTATCAAATCAGGTGTCGCCACCTCAAAAACTAATTTAACACGCGATCGTTCATGTCGGCTCATTTCCTTTTATGTTTTCTGTCTTATTTGTGCCTGATGCTTTTCGCTGCTGTGGAGCGAGGCACTTCACCTGTTTTGTCCTCCGGGTACGCACCTAACTGATGCGGCCGGTGAGCAGCGCACACTCCGCTGTTTTTGTGGTCGGTAGATCTTTTAGAACTGCAGTTCAAAGGTAACTTATGAGGTGAATATATATGAACCCAGGTAGCAGTTTTTCTTTAGGATTGAGAGGAGATGCAGGAAGATAATACACAGGCAGGACAGGAAAATAGTCAAATAATAACAAGTTAGTTTTTGTACCTGGTGGTTGCAACAAACAGACACCATTGAAGGTAATCAGAAGTGAGGAACAGAAAATGAAATAATTATTTTAATGTTTAGAGCAGCAGGAACTCCGAGAGGCTGCAGGCACATCAGTGAGTTTGCGGCCGCTGCGCAGGGGGAGGGGGGAGAGGGCTGAAGCAGAAACTACCGTTGTTAAAAGAAATGTGTTTAACTTTGAAAATGTGGGCGTAATTTTAATTGTCGAAAACTCCAGCGAACCATTAGTTCATTTTGCTCAAATATAAATTGAGGCCTGCCTCTAATTCTGGCCCTCCTTCCAATAAAGGCCTGGAGCTTGATGAGCTTGAGTCAAATACAGACCCGGGCCTGTATTAGAGGATTTACGGTATGTACAGTTTAGTTGTGTAGTTTCCCTGCTGATAAATGGGTTTCTGTGTGCAGTATAGGCAATATTTCTATTTCAAAGTCAGAAATATTAATTCAAAGTAAAATATACTCAGGAACTTGCAGCGTGCTTGTCGTAACTTCAACGTTTAGCTATTAATGCTAACTGATCTTCTCTATTTGGGGGCACATATCACAGTTATTTTTTATTTTTATTTTTTTGCCACTTCCTGCACTTCTCATCTCTGATTGGCCGACAGGAAGTTAGGTCTGCTTATTGGGCCAGTCTCATTAAAAATGAACAACTCTTTCACACAATTCGAGAAGCAGAACAGCTCACAGTACATCTTCTCTCAGCAAAGCCGGATTTTAGTGTGTGTTCCGTGTGTTTCACACCTGTTTACGACGTGTTCACCCCTCTGTTTTCATTCAGGTAGCTGGGGTATAGTTTCCCTGTGAGACAGACACACACAAAGAGAGAGAGAGAGAGAGTGAGAGAGAGAGAGACAGAGAGAGAGACAGGCCTGGACCACACACCCCACCCCCCTACCCACCCTCCTTCTCCCACAAAGACATGCATAGCAAAAACCGTAAGTGTAAGCTCCTCTCCTCTCTTCAGTTTCTCCCCCCACCTCCTCCTCCTCCGTGACAGCCTTGTGATTTACTCTGCTCTGCAATTCCCCGCTGTGTCTCAGCAGTTTTCACCTACGGATCCGATCTGGGTCAAAAAGGTGTTCGACAAAATGCTTGATTGAACTTCACGTAACAGCAGTACGGTGGAGTTCATCCCGCGAGGACACTTAGCTTCAGACAGAGCCGAGCTTGTTGCTAATTAGAGAAAAGTGCAAGAAATTGATTTGGACACAGACGTTGAGGCACAGCTTCTTTCTTTTCTGTTATAACAGCCATCTGGAAACGAATAAATACGAGTAGGTCAAAAAGGCATTGAATGTTACCAATTTTGTGCACCCAAAAGAATGTCCGCTTCCATTGTGTGATTATAAGGGTTTCCTTTGTACAGATATTTTTACCTGAAATTACCTACAGAATATGTTTTTTTGTCTTGACCTGTTTCAGAAAAGCGACACAGCTCCCCGATCCCCTCCAGGGGCCCCTTGGTTCCCATGAAGGCCAAAGCACCTGCAGTTGCCCCTGCTGTGGCTCCCAGCCCCGGAGCCACGCCGCCATTCAGGGTTCCCAAAGATTACCCTCACTCCCGCTTCAGCAAGGCACCGCTCGCTGTGTACCCACCAAAGGGGGCACGGAACAAGACCTGGTGTGTGCACACTTCACTTTTTTAATATGTTTGTACTTACACCTCCAGAGGAACTTTAGAAAGAGTCGGGCTCTGATTAGATGTCAAGTTGCCTCTGAAGAATGAATTTGCTGTGTTTAAATGCTTGTTTTACTCTCCTCCTTTCCAGCGTATCACTGCCAGTTGTAAGTCTGGAGAAGATGCCCTGTCTCAGCCGAACAGACTCAGCTTCTCACGTGCGCCTCACCCCCTCCTCGTCCTCTTCATCCACCCTTTCCCCAATCAAATCCTCTTCCTACAACCCCCTCACCTCCCAGCGCTCAGGCGAGAAACTCGCCAACGGTCGCTGTAGCAGCGGCCCGCCCACACCGCGCTCCATCACGTCCCCATCCTCTCTGGATAGGCGGCCCAGTCCGGCGCGCTCCCCACTGGACAGGCGGGCGTCATCAACGCCGTCTCCTTCCCTGCTGGACAGGAAGTCCTCTGCATCGCCTTCACCCTCTCACCGACCTGTTACTCTGGCAGCATTGGCATCGCTGTCGCCAATGGAGAAGAAGCAGCAGAACGGAGCTAAAGCTTCTCCAGCCAGGTCGCACAAGAGACTCTCAGGTGAGACATTAGTGTCTTTATTTTTTGTCTAAACAACCGAACCAGTTATAATTTTATTTTATTTATTTATTTTAGTTTTATTCATATTTTTCTTCAAGAAAAAAAACTTGTGTTTTTTTTAATAACATAATACTTTCAAACCCTTTCAAGGCCTAATGACTGGATTTTTTTCTGATCTTGAGACAAGAAATTTTAAATGGCACATTTTTTCACATGCGTTGAACCTGTAGTACAGCAGGTGTGTGTAAACTTTGTTCTGTGTCCACAGCAACAGTGGGATAATGGGTGGAATGTGCCGGGTAATCGTCGTCATGGCATGCATTAGAGAATTACTGTTTTAGGTTGGAGAGTTGAAGGGTCGCATTCAAGAGTGAGGGAAAGATGGATCACAAGATCAATAGGCGGATTGGTGCTGCATCTGCAGCGACGCGGTCGATTTACCGATCTGTCGTGGTGAAGAGAGAGCTGAGCTGGAACGCAAAGCTCTTCATTTACCGGTCATCTACGTTCCTACCCCCACCTATTAGGGGTGTAACGGTACGCTAAATTTGTATTTGGTTCAGTTCAGTGTTTTGAACAACTCGTTTTGGTACATTTTCGGTCTATCATTATTATATTTATTTAGTTGACATCTAAAGCGGCTCCTATAGTGAGCTGAACCAGGTGTCATCACAAGCTGCTGATCTAGCATGTCTTTGATTATTCGCAGGTTATTTGTGCAGCTATGAGTTTCACGCTCTTACAGACAAGTGTTGTGTTTGACTGTTGATGCTCCGTGGTTTTATTTCTGCAGCGAGCCTTAAAAACTCACCTCACACCGCCCAGTTTCTTCTTTAAAACTCGTATTAAATAACGAGCTTCCTCTGTGCCGTAGTTTTTATTGTAGAATGAAAACTTTACATCAGTTGTCCCAGGGGGGAAGTTCAGCAGACATGTTTGTTTCCATTTTTGCTGCTGCACAGTGTGAGAGGAGGGAGGGAGGGGCAGAGCAACGCTTCGTTCAGCATCTCTACAGGCTCCACAGGAGCAGCGACAGCCAGCTGGTTTGATCTGCTCTGAAAGACATTGATCAAAAGTTGCAGATTACATTTTTTAAACAGAGATCGGGCACGTGCTGCCATCATGCGTCACTCAAAGCTGCGTTCGTACGGAAACTTGCATAGGAACCTTTATCTGCTGCACTTAAATCACACAAATAAAAATTCATTATTTAACAAAAAAATAAACCAAAACAGTTCACACTCCCCCGTGAACCGTTACACCCCATCACCTATGGTCACGAGCTTTGGGTAGTGACCGAATGAATGTGATTGCGGATAGAAGCGGCCAGAACGAGTTTTCTCTGCAGGGTGGCTGGGCCCTCCCTTAGAGATAGGGTGAGAAGCTCGGTCATCCAGGAGGGGCTCGGAGTAGACCCGCTGCTCCTCTACATTGGGAGGAGCCAGTTGAGGTGGTTCATGCCTCCCTGGTGAGGTTTTTCAGGCACGTCCAACCGAGAGGAGACCTAAAGGAAGACCCAGGACACGCTGGAGGGACTATGTTTCTCAGTTGGCTATGGAACGCCTTGGGATTTCCCCGGTGGAGCTGGCCCAAGTAGCTTGGGAGAGGGAAGTCTGGGCCTCCCTGCTTAGGCTACTGACCCTGCAACCTGCCCCTGCATAAACAGAGGTGAATAGATGGTTGGATAGATGGAGTTGCATGTCAGGCAGCAGGAGGTAGAGAAGTTTCTCTTGTTCCTTCTGCAGCAGAGGAGCTGCTTCATAATCCAATTGGTGAAGAAGAACATCTTCATCCAGCTGGTTAAACTGTTCAGAAAGCATTTCTACTTTTTTACAAATAAATATGTCTGTGTACACTGGTTACAGCATTCAGCCATCCCCATGGGCAGCAAGTGAGTTGCAGCAATGGCTGCGCTCAGGATTTATGTGGTGGTTTACCCCCCTATCCAACCCCTTAAAGCAGACTGTCAAGCATGGAGGCATTGGGTCCCATTTCTAAAGGCATTTGTACGACCTGACCAGATTTGAACCCTGATCTCCCAGTCCCAGGGTGGACACGCATACCACTAGGCCACTGAGAAGGTACACCTATCAACTGAGAAGGTACATCTATCATGGAAAAGTCCACAAATGGAAGACAAAAGAACAGGTGTTGGGTGTAAAAAGCATCAGTAGCAGAAGAACAGAATAAGAGCAAATCCTGCATGAGAAAGGCTGATTCAGTATCATAAGACCAAATACCACAATATTTTAGTGTATTGATATTTTCTACATTCCTAACCATCACATCAAGCAATTTCTGCCCCTGAAAACTTCTGCCTTTTACATCCCTCTACATCATTAATTACCATTAACATAATTAATTTTAAACATATTAAAAGTGATTGAGATTTATTTTTGTCGGCATGGCGATGCACCTAAACATAGATAATATCCCCACCCCCAGAAATAAAGTGGTAATAGTCAAGTATTACAGCTAATGGAGGGCGGTGTGTGTATTTACAGTCTGTATTTTACAAGAACGTTTTGGATTTTTTTTTTGTTGTTTTTTTTTTTTTTTTTTTTTGATCTCATCTTTTTTTGTGTCTCGGTTGTTTAGTTTCCCATCATTCTCTCTGCTCGTCTGGCTTTCCAGCAGCCTCCTGCTGGTGAACTGTTTGTTTACGTCTCAACACGTGTTTTGTTGCTGCCTGGATTGGACCTGTTGTCCATTAGAGCAAGCACAGAAAGATTACAAGGATTACAGGAAAGGCCGGGATTAGATTACAGCCTTTCTCACAGCGACGGTCCTAGACACCCTGCTGACTAGAGGTTGTAAGTTGGACGCTAGTTTGTGCAGAGGAATAAAGCTTCTATTGTCTGTTTTTAAGGCAGTATCTGTCTAGTATAGGTCTATATTCCATAAAGCGCTGATTAAAAAAAGTGTTACAGAAATTACATTAATTAACTGAAAATGTTTTTCAGCATCACTTACTGAGTGAAACTTTCAAAAAATGAATATTGAAAACAAATCAACAAAATGAATAATTTTAATGGCTTCTTTAAAACATATAATAACATTATTCTATTGCATCCAGTGAAAACATAATCCAGGTGTGTTGCTGGGACTTTTTTTGGCAGGTCATTCACATAAAAAAAAATGTTCCAAACGTAGAACCTTGGGGTATTCCATTTTCTTTCTTTCCACCACTTCAACCATGTTTTAAATATATCTCAATATCTATAATTCTTTTAGACGAGTGAGCCTTTTATGTATATAGATGTTTATGTTTATGTATTTAGCAGACGCTTTTGTCCAAAGCGACTTACAAGTGATGATCGGCATGTTGCCCTCGAGGTTAACAATAACAACAACAACATTGACATCAATCATGGAGAGGAGGGAACAAGGAGTGGACAGTAGAGAGGGGGGACGGGTGCAGGGAGGGTGCTAGTTAAGAAGATGCTCTCTGAAGAGCAGGGTCTTCAGGAGTTTCTTGAAAATTGAAAAGGAAGCCCCTGTTCTGGGAGTGCTTGGAAGGTCATTCCACATTTGTGGAACGATGCATGAGAAGAGTCTGGATTGTCCTGAGCGTGGTGTAGGCACTGCTAGCCGACGATCCTGTGATGACCGGAGCGGCCGGGCCGAGACGTAAGCCTTTGCAAGAGGATTCAGGTAGATGGGAGCCGTACTGTCTCGGACTTTGTATGCTAGTGTTAGCAATTTGAATTTGATGCGTGCTGCTAGCGGTAGCCAGTGGAGCTCAATGAACAGAGGGGTGACGTGTGCTCTTTTTGGCTGATTGAAGACCAGACGCGCCACTGAGTTCTGGACCATTTGAAGAGGTCTCACAGTACTGCCTGGAAGTCCAGTTAGAAGATTATTGCAGTAATCGAGGCGGGAGATATAGATGAATTAATCAAATATTTATCCAATAAAGGAAGTAATCAAGAATTCTAATTAATTCTCATAACTGGTCTGGTAGATTAAATTGTGGCCAAAAATAATTTTTTAACTGTGTTCCATTTTAGATGAATACTGAGCTGCAGGTGTGTTTAAAAAAGCTTAACCATAAAACATAGCTGTGGTTTAAACATTTGTGATCTGAATTCTATAAAATTCAGCAATTCATGTCATCTGCTTTGTTTTCTGAGAACATTTGACCAAATTTAATAGTTTAATATAAAACTGACCATAACTGGAGTCTATGCTTTTTGATTGCTGATTGGTTTTGATGACGTTGATCAGATTTAAGCAGAAAACAAACTCTAAAAGCAGTAAATACAAGATTAATGCGTCCTCTAAGTTAGAAAAACGCGAAGCCCTTAAGTGGTCGTTCATAAAGGCAGAAAGAGTTTACGCAGCTGTCAGTCTGCTGCTGCCTGTTGCCAAGCTGCCAGTCTGTCCTGTCAGAAACGATTAGTCACCTCATGAAGGACCGTGCGGTTAATGCGTCTGATACCCGAAACGGAGTCATTGATCTTACACAGAATAGTCCCATCAGAGAAACCTCAAACAGCAGAGCAGCTGAAATCGTTATGTGAATAAGTTTAATCGTGTTGAAAGAGGCAAATGAATGTATTCATGCTGCACCCCACACTCCCATCAAATCTGATTTCTGAAGGAAGAAATGAGCCAATGATGATCTTTGAGCTGAATGTGTGTTTTACAGGGAGGGTGTTTGATCCTGACAAGCACTGCGGGGTACCAGACCCCGAGACCAAGCGATCCTGCACTCGGTCTCTCACCTGCAAGGTAACGAAACGACACGTCTCTCATTTCTGCAGAAGATAAACAAGAGTTTGTGATCCTTCCTCCTAACTGAGACATGTTTGGTCCTGGCAGTAATGATATTAAAGAGAGACCCGCTAGATCACCATGTAGAGACTCCAGCCACAGCTACGATCACATCCAATTTTCCTGTTAATGCTGGGAAGCAGTGCTGGAGCATTACAGGGGCCTAGATTTCTCTTGATGAAGTAATTATAGATGTTAGATGAGGCTACATCATCTTTTAGCTGCAATGCCCTTTAATTACCTCCACCAAGCTTTACTAATCTTTTCAAACAGACTGATTATTAAGTCATTAAAGATCCATCAAGCTAGTTTGTTCATGCATTTTTTTAGGGGTTGGGATGGGGGAGGGTTGGTCAGAGTGAAAGTCCTCTGTACCATAATCTGTTTCAGACATGAAGCTGGATAAGGATGCCTTAATAATTAGAAACCAAAATGATAATATGAGAGATAAACTAGATCATAACAAGGCTCTTCAGAAATCTGCAGAATGAAGACTTGTTTGAGGACTGGAGGGAATTTTTTTTTTTTAAGCGATGGACTATTTTTTATTTTCCCACATATCAAATTGAGCTCCTGTGGTGTTTTTATTTCTCGTTTGAAGCTACAAGAAGTCGTCAGCAAGGGCAATTTGTGTGAGAAGAAATGTTCTTTTTGTTGACTAGGAAAGTTCAGCTGCAGGGAAGTGTTGATTCTGTGTGAGGCAGCATTTTGAGTGAAAATAAATCAAGTTCGACGGCTTTCTCTGTGCCACAGATGAACACGTCTCAGCTCCTCTTTGGGAACGGACTGGAAGCTTTTCTAAATTTGCGTGTGTGTGTTTCTAAACGTTGTTGGAAAAAGTGGTGGCAATCTGTCCAGTGCAAAAGGAGTAAAATAATTTAGTTTAGCATTTCTCAAAACATTAGAAAGTTCAAGTGCTAATATTGATTCTGGTATTTTAGTTACTTTAAAGACCAAGTTCACTTAGAAGCTGATTTGTATTTTTAAAATATGGCCGCTATACATGAAGAAATACCTGCCATACGAGCTCATGTATGAGGAATTTCCTAACAAATGTAGACAAAAGTTATGTTTTAAAAACAAAAATGCAAATGAAGGAAGCCTAACAACACAACAGCTTTAAGCTTCTTTTTTTTTTTTTTTTTGTAACACCAGATATGAATATACTTGCATTTAAAACCATAATCCTCTCCCAGTGAGATGACGATGAGGATGCTACGTCCGACATGGTTACTAGAACGAGATTCTCCCATTCGGCCCGTAATGAATCCATATGACGGGCCAGTAAGGATACACCAGACTCATCCTCGAACTTTGGGGAAAATTAGGATTCATTTGTGAGCCACATTTTGTGGATCCTTTGATTTTTGGCAGTCCTGCTGTTTCACTGTTACACTGTGATGTAATCAGCCCCTGAATTGTATTTTAGACTTTCCTTCACCTAAACAGAACTATCACTGTAAGTTAAAGAAGAACGACACAGTTACAAATGTAGGGAAGGTAGTTTTTCTCCAAACTTTCAAAATTTTTGCTCACATGCTAAAATAAAGACCAATAAGTGATTGAAAACAATAAAAGCTTGAAAAGCCTGACTTCTTTAACCGTCATAGAGCATATTTCTCCTCTATTGCAAAGGTTTATTTGTTTGGCATGCAAGCTTGTCCACATCTCAACACCAGCAGCAACTGTCCTGGTAACACGAGCTCTATCCTGCTCTACAACTCTAAAAGGAAGGCTGAGTGCAGCATCCTGCTGTTTCATTTACATGATAGTTCTAAGTACTGGAGTCCTTCTAGAAACCTTCAGTCTTGCAGCTGCTAATATGCTTTAACTGTCAGGTCCAGTTATACATTTACTTGTAGGTGTAGTGAGAGAAAGAGAGCAGCCCAACGCTGCATCAGCTGGTTTAAAACATCACTGCTGGTACGGTTTACAATCAGTTTCCCTCTGGGATTATTAAAGTATTTTTGAATTGAATTGAATGATGCCAGTCTACACACTCTGCAGCCTAATGTCATTATCATGCATCTAGCTTCTTTATAATAACAGAGAAGCAGACACACGATTATTACTCCAAAGAAATCGTGTCTTCTTTAACTGACTGTTAGAAAGTTGGATTTATAGAAAACGGAGGCAGGTAGGAAATCCCCAGAGATCCCCAGGAAAGCCGAGTTTGTAGCTTGGCAACAACTGAGCTGGTGTCTCACGCAGCTTTGGCAGCGCTGCAGGTTATGATGCTGAGGAACAGAAATCACACAGGTGAGCTCTCCATGTGGAGAAAAAAACTGGGATTTTTAAGCTGTTTCATTCTAAAAACCTTATTCTAATCATCAACTTTCAAGTTGTTTTTTTTAATGATCCGGTTGGATTTCACTTTGCTGATTTTTTTTCTCTAAAGTGTTCACTTAATTTGTTAGCATGGTACCAAAGGAGACCAGTTTTTTGTTTTCTCTGTAATTTATTAACTCCAGCTGTCAGACATTGATATATGTGCTGGTTTAGAAGGTTGGCCCATAATGAGTTTGGTCACACCCCACACACCTCTCATGAAGGACCAAACTCATGAGTCAATCTCTGTAATTTCCACAAACAAGAAGACCACAAACGTTTACCACGATTTTCAGATGTCACGGTTTGACCCAGTTAGTTAGATTATATTATATTAGTTAGATGTAGGGCTGCAACAAACGATTATTTGGATAATCGATTAATCGGATGGGGTCTCGACACGATTAATCGATTAATCGGATTACATGGGGAAATTTTTAAAAACTGCTAGGGAAACGTTATTTCTCTCCTTCCTTCACTTTATTTAACACAACATTATTAGAAAACAGTTCAATAGCAGAAAAACAACATGCCATCACCTAAATTGTCTTATAAGGTGTATAGACAGAGACCCTAAGCTACATCTATCTGTGACCTAAAATGCTTGGTCCAAGTTAAACAGCTTAAGGGCAATTCTCATCTGTTTTGTTTGATCTCATCTGTTCACATTTATTTTAAATGTAATCAAACATAGGCTGTGAATTAATCAAAATTGATCACTATTTCCAAAAATGACTGAAAAAATACCAAATAAAACAAAAATAAATGAATGCCATCCTCCTTGCGATGATGCCCTGGGCAACTGCCATAAAGTCACATCAAGAAATGCTGCTGATCATTCCAATGATCCCAAATAGACTCACATTAGGCCACATGAAAGCAACTGAACCCAAAAATATATTAACCAGTATATAACTGCACTCTCACACAACACGCCTGCAGCAACAGTTAGGACTCCTCCCTCCCTTTTAAAAGCGTTTTTGCTTCTGAGGACATTGTGGTTGTGAAACCACATGCTAGTAGTCTGGCCCCGGTGTGATCAACCAGTTTCTGCGGGAATGTGACGGCGGAACCAGGGCCAGATTAACACTTTGTTGTACCCTGGGCAACAATATTCAAGGGCTCCATCATCACGACCCGAGGATCACCATAATGTGGTCACATACAGAATATTTTACTGTAATGTGCAGTAAATATACTCAATACTTGAATGCCTGACAACACGTAACCCGCCCAGAGTAACCTTTGACCCACCTCGTGTGGACTGACCAATGAGGAGAGGGTCTTAACTTGAGGCCCTCTCTTCATTGGTCAGTCTGCATGAGACTGACTCTCAACTGACGTTCAGTCGTAGGCAGCGAAGCGTCTCTGTGCAGCGCAAAAGCCCGGGTGGACAGTTTGTTTAATGTAGGGTGATCATATTTCCATTTCCAAACAAGAGGACAGGGGATCTGTGCCTATGACGTCACACTATGGCAACACCACACAAACCATGTTGGGACCCATTTTTTGTAAGAACTAAATTAATATCAGATTCTGCCAATTAAAGCGCTCTAAAACAATTCATATGTAAATATTTTGCATATTTAATGCAAAATCTCATTTTTATGCTTTAGTGCTGCAACAAGGTTTTATTAATAATAAATTATTATACCTTTTGTTTTACTACAGCATCAGTAAGCTTCCTGTGCACAGATTATTAAGGATGCTTGTTTCAGCTGTGAGATTAGACGATAGGATCAATGATAAAATAAGTTGTCACACACTCCATGGAAACTTTCAGATAATCCACAAATAGTGGCTTTCAAATTATTTTGTTACTTTTTGCAAGTTTAGAAAAGAAGCAGATGAGACAGCATGTCTGATAATTTAGTTTTTCATCTGATAATAATAGAACATGTCAGTAATGTCTGAGGGGCTTTTACAAACACTGTATAACTAATACTCCTGGAGAGGGCATGAACTACACAGAGGCTTCTGGGGAGCCCAGTTATTGGGGGGGGGGGGGGGGGGGGGGGGCATTTTGCCTTGGCCCCCAAAATGTCTTGAAACGGCCCTGGGTGTGTGACTGAGTTTTGAAGGTGATCTGAATTGTATCAGATGTATAACTATGATATGTGTATAACTTATTGTTTTTTACTGGTAAAAACGTGTAGTGGAGATAAATCTACCTACATTTTACTTTGTTTTCTTGTTTTTATTTAACTATTTCCTGTCCTGTCTGTCTCTCATCTTCCTGCATCTCCTCATAATTCTCCAGAAAATCTGTTGCCTGGATTCTTACTTTTTCACCTCATCAGTTACTTTTGAGCAGATCAAAGAGATCTCCTGACCGCAAAGCGGAGAGCGCGTTTTCGATGCTGCGTGAGGTGAAATCACCGCAGCACAGGTGATGAGCTCCGCAGCAGAGCGCTTCAGGCACAAATAAGACAGAAAATAGAGAACATGTGCAGACAAGAACGATCGTGTGCTAATTATAGTTTTTTGGTTGCGCCACTTTGAGAATGGACCGTGCGCTGGAAGCAGCTGCCTGGATCGCTGTGCAACAATGCAGAACCGGTTCGCAGCAGCGCAAGTCTGCAGGCTCTCCCTCGCGCTGATCTGCCGGTACCGGCTCTCCCTCGCTCTGATCTGCCGGCTCTCCCTCGCGCTGATCTGCAGCTCTCCCTCGCGCTGATCTGACTTGCTCTGGTCTGCGCGCAATGGCGGGCGGGAAGGGGGGGGGGCGCTTTTGGAAGAGTTGTGCGACACAACGAATCGATGACGCAATTCGTTGCCAACGCTTTTAGTAATCGATTTTCATCGAATTCATCGATTCGTTGTTGCAGCCCTAGTTAGATGTTTATTGAGATTGTTAGTTTTGTTTACAAAAGATTCTGTTTAAGTATCTCAGGGTCTTGTTCACAAGTGAGGGAAAGACCGATAAGCAGATCTATGGGCGAATTGGTGCGGTGATGCAGAACTGGAAGGCGAAGCTCTCAATTTACCAGTCAATCTACGTTCCTACCCTCACCTATGGTCACGAGCTTTGGGTAGTAAGAGATCGCGGATACAAGCGGCTGAAATAAGGTTTCTCTGCAGGGTGTCTGGGCTCTCTCTTAGAGATAGGGTGAGAAGCTCGGGGCTCGGAGTAGGTCTCCTGCTCCACCACATCGAGAAAAGCCAGTTGAGAAGGCTCAGGCATCTGATTAGGATTCCTCCTGGACGCCTACCTGGTGAGGGTTTTTGGACACATCCAACTAGGAGACCTATGGGAAAGACCCAGGACACGCTGGAGGGACTATGTCTGTTTAAATGTTGAATATGGAACAATTCAATAAAAAGCTATATTTTTAAAAATAATTCCTCCACACGGTGTTTAGATGTGTGCAGAATGAAGGTACAGTGTTTAAATTGAAAGCAATATTTTAATAAAAAAAGTAGTCATATTTCTTTTGAAGGGTACGAGACTGGGTTGTATGATGTTTTAATAGGTCGTAAAGCGGGTTGCCCAGTAAGGTTGTAGGTTTGATGTCAGTCGACGAGGCAGTCCGACAAACACCATCAAAGAAGACGCAAACACATATTTTTCTAAATAAAGGACTTAAGTACCTCTTTCTGCTCTTGACTCAAGTAAAAGCCCAAGTCTAAATAGTCTAAAGTTGATGCCAAAGCCGTTTCAAACAAACCGTCGCCACCTTAGTTGTTCCGCTCCGTCGCATCATCCGGCCACCAAACCGATAAGAGTATTGTGATTGGCAAGGCACAAGACTGATCTGGCCCATGGCCCTGCTGAGGCTACAGTGGAGAGTGGCTAGACGGGACACGCAGAGTTGAATTAATTTGCTTCGACTGTCTAGATTTCCAAGCTACTGTTCCCCTGCAGGCCAGTTATAATGCATAATTGGAGATGGTCTTCCAGTCCTGTGAACTTTGTTTGCTTTAAATTGTTAAGTGTTAAAATTAAATGGTAAATGGCCTGTATTTGTATAGCGCCATCTAGAGTCCTGGAACCCCCCAAGATGCTTCACAACACAATCAGTCATTCACCCATTCACACACACTTTCACACGCTGGGGATGAGCTACGATGTAGCCACAGCTGCCCTGGGGCACATGGGCAGAGGCGAGGCTGCTGAGCACTGGCGCCACCGGTCCCTCCGACCACCATCTGCAGGCAACGTGGGTTAAGTGTCCTGCCCAAGGACACAACGACAGCAACAGACTGAGCGAGGCTCGAACCTGCAACCTTCCAATTACAGGGCGAGCACTTAACTCCTGTGCCACCGTCTATTAAAGTTAAGGATAGGGTTTTATTCACTCCATCTGAGGAATGGAGCCAAACGTGTTTGGATGGAGAGTTTGGGTGCAGCGTGAGAAAAGGTGTTTTATAGCGGACCTTCGGAACAACCAGTGATCGGCCGGTCGAAGGAAACGTGTGGGTAAATATGGAGTCAGCAGCTCTTCAGATAAGATGGAGACGGGCCATTCAAGGCCTTCTAAACAAAAAGCGACTTTGAATGAATTCTAAATTTAACGGGACCTAGTGTAAATTAGCAAGATTGGGTGTGATGTGCATGCGTCTTGGAATTGGTGAAGAACCTAGCTCAGCATTTTAAACTTTCTGTAGTCTTAGTCTGTTACCTGCTCAGAAACCATTCCACCATCAGGAAATGGGATATCTGGTCAGATCCATGCTTTATAAGTTTGTCACTCAGAGTTACATAGGACTCACCTTTCACATTCTTAACTGAGTAGGATGTTCTAGAGTTTTCTATGAATGAACTAAAGCAACACTGCTGATTTATACCTGAGCTCCAGCAGCCTGTTTGCTTAAATAACCGTCGGAGAATCAAACATTTGACGGCTGGTTACCTTTTTAAGTACCTGGAAGGGTTTCCAAGCTGATGGGGCTCAGGGAATATTTACTTGTGTTTGTGAGCTCTGATGTGAGAAAAAAGCCTCGTCTCAAGCTCCTGTGAGAGCAGAAAATTGTTCAGTTAACCTTAAAACTGATTTTTCCCCCATCAGACTCATTCTTTAACCCAGCGGCGAGCCGTTCCCGGCCGATCCAAGCATTTTGACGTCCTCCTGGCGGAGCACAAGGGGCTGACCAAGAAAAGGGAGGCCTTGAAGAAGGAGAAAGAAAAGGACGGAGCACAGAGAGGGAAGGAGACCAGAAACCAGAATATCACAACCTCAGAGACGACGTGCCCCAGCAAGTCCCACTGCCCGAGTGAACGACCACTCTCATCGCTGAAGCTACGACTTGCTAACTCGTACATACCAAGGTAGGGCCATGTTGATGGCAGTCTGAGCTGTTTGTTAGTCTCATGTTTTACATTATTTTAACTGTAATTTAATTAATACTTTAATGTTAAGATCTGTTGTGTTTAAATCATTTGATCTGTTCCAAAATACGTTTTTAAAATACAAAATAAAGCACAACTCTTCCTAATAGAAGCACACTGGCCTCTGTAATAGCAAAAGGACCTGAAGCCTGATAGAAACACGTTGTCCTTCCATGTTGTTCCACCAGGGGGTGTTGTTAAACCCTTCTGAGTGTGTTATGACTAATTTCCTGTGTTTGATCAGAATGTGATTTTCTGTTTTCTGTGCATTAGCTGTAGCAAACATTTGGAATAACACTAAAGGAAATTATCATTGAAACTTTTTTTCTTTCATTTATTTCACATAATTTCACTTCATCCCTCTAATCCAACTCTCATCCCCTCTAATATGACCACTCCAGGGTTCCAAGTGGATCCTCCTCCACTTCCAGTTCCAGTCCTCTGCCTCCACCAGCACCTGCCGCCCCAGCACCTCACCCAGAGCCGTCTCCTCACAGCTGGGTGTCAGCAGTGGGAGACGGCAGTCGGCTTTCCAGCGACGAGGGAGAAGCAGAGACCCCAGACGACACAGACAGACCTGCTTTGCACTACTCAAGCCATCACCCACGGCCTTCAGAGGTAAAACATATTTTAAACTTCAGATATTTCACGCGTCCTGAAATAAGAGCAACATTTCTTTGGTCCTTGTGGCATTTAGGTGTTTTGAGATTTCTTGGCTTACAAATTTCAAAGTACAAAAAACATGCTTAATTTAGGGCTGGAAAATATGGACCAAAGATTATTTCAATATTTTTAGCTGCATTTCAATATACGAGATATTTTTCTTCCCATTAAGTTAAAGTTCCACTGGTGAAATCTTTTTCTCTACATTTGACCCATCCCCTGGGGGAGCGGTGAGCTGCAGACACGGGCGCGCTCGGCAACCATTTGATGGTTTAACTCTCCAATCGAAGGGAGGCACTGGGTCCCATTTTTAAAGTCTGTCAAATGACCCGAGTGAACAATTAATTGCATATGCAATTAAATTGTGAGGTGACAAAAGGAGATTTTCTAATCGCAAAGGCTGTAATTTGACTGGCAGGGATTGGCTAACACAATGCTAATATACATGGGATGTTAATGCTAATATCACCAATTACATGATTACAAATTACAAATTAGGAACGTGCCAAATTATTACATTTGGAGTCTAATAAAAAGTAAAAACTGCCATCAATCAAATAAGCACAGACGGATATTTTAGTAAAGCCAGAAAACTGCAAGAGACTCTTAACGCCACTGAGTTTTGGCTAGCAGCTATGGATGTAACTGAACTACGGAAGCTCTGCGTGGACAAGACGTCAGAAACTCCAAACACAAAAGACTTCAATAAATGGGACACACTTCTTTCCTGCAAATCAATTTTCACAGTTGATGTCAACATCTATGCTAATTCAAGGGATGCGCTCCTGGCTGCAAAGCATTGCTCCTTCAAATACAACATTTTGTCTTTACTTGTAAGTGTTTATGTAGACAAACAAAATTGTTGATGTAAAATGTAGATACATATGTAAATACATAAACTTGTTTATATTCAGTTCAAGTTACATAGATTTTTGTTTTGCTTCCGTTAATTGAAAAATATGAGAAAAGCACCTTGAGAAAACAATCGTGAAATAAATCGCAATTGCAATATTGAAGAAAAAAATCTCAATTATTATTTTCCAGAATTGTTCAGCCCTAGATCCGACTGTAAATGTGAACCCACGATCTCCCAGTCTCAGAGGGGACACTCACACCACTAGGCCACTGAGCTGGTGATGTGCAAGTGCAAAAAAATCAGTTAAGAGTCCAAATGTCACATGTCACACGGGCACTTTTATTTTTATAATCTATGTTAAACTAGTTATATTCCATATCTGGCAAAGAACAAAGGGACTTGTCATATATTTTATGATTGTATAGTCAATTTTTCTGGCCTATGAAAAGATAAATAATGACAGAAATACAGCCACTACACAAAGGATTACACTCGCGTGGGTCATGCAGCTCTGAGTTAGTAATGTTATAAAGGAAAGCACGGCAGGAATCTCTGAAGTGTTTTGGCCGCTGCAGGCCCCCATACCTGTTACCTCTTCATGCGCACAGAGGGAGGCACAAGAAAGACAAAAGCCATCGGTCATGACGAAAAGACTCACTGAAGCAACAACATCTCAAAAAAAAAAAAAAGTAAAACTGCAAAGCTGAGTGCGGAGTTTAGGTCGGAACACTAGCCTAGAGGTTTGTATGAATTCACCTGTAAGTTCTGGCAGCACCCGATCGACCGGGCGTGTAAGAATACTAGAGGTGCCTGAAAAAACATATTCACGTATGAATCGTGGTTCTTATTCATAAAGATTCTACATCCACCCTGTCTGAAAGCCTTTATGTGAACTGCTGTATTTTTGAGCGTCCCTGAATGCATCGTTGCTACAGCCAGCGCTAGCTGCAGCTGCTCTGCTCCATGTTCCTACGCTGCAATCTGCTGAAATACGTCAGAGAGTTACCTTCATTTTTATCCTGCATGTGTTTTATGAGCCAAGAAGTTAGTTCCGTTATATTTATAATGTTTAAACGCTCGCTTGTGTGTTGCCTCATGCAGACTCCACCGTGCATAATCAACGCTTGATGAAGTAGTTCCTGGTTGTCTTCCTGTGTAATGATAAATGTTACTGGTTTATATGAATACGTGCTACTGGATGTTATAAAACTTGTTTATTTTAATGTTTTTAATGAACATGCTGATAATAAAGATTTATAAAAATCAAGCCTACGAGTGGACTAGTCTGCATCACTTTGGGTCAGGATGTTCCTTTTTATGTAGTATTATGCAGATGTAAGAAGGCAGTCCTTTTCCACCACCCTTTCTCACTTTTCTCATTTCTTCCTTCCCCTCTCCCCATCGTGTCTCCCTCCAGTTTTGCGTTTTCAGCAGCCGGCTCATGGGACGGGGATACTATGTGTTTGACCGGCGATGGGACAGGATGAGGCTGGCGCTCCAGAACATGGTGGAGAAACACCTCAACGCACAGATGTGGAGGCACGTGACTTTGGTCTAAGATGTTCTTACACAAAATACGGCTGCAACAATGAATCGTCGTTGATTTGTTGTGTTGTGCAACTTTTATTTAACAGTCAATGCGCACAGCTCTTCTGTATGCAGCAGCAGAGCAGATCAGAACAAGAGACATATGTCGCATGTGCGATGCAAAAAGTCTGTGTGCGATAGACTAATTTCAGACGTAGCGCTTGTGCGACATCTTTTCAAGTTACTTTTTTTCCACAGAACTTTGCTGAACAAAGGTAATTTGCTTGTTATTGTGTAAGGAAGATGCTTTTTACTGGCGCTCACTGTGCTAATCTAGGTGCTGTGGAGGAAAATGGAGAAACCAGCAAAGACACAGAGGCAGAAACAGTCCAAAGTTTGGGATCAAAAGTGCAACTACAGGCAGATTAGCTAATGCTAGCAGGTAGCAGGCTCCCGATCAAGTGGGGTTCCAAAACTAAGAATATCTAAACTCTACAAGCGGAAGAAAAGTCCCCACCAGCCTGTTTATTTATCCTCTTTAAGCTGTCTGCAGAACTGCTGCAGTCAGGTTGCTGCTTCGAGTCTGCTCTGCTCAGCACCGCTGAGGGTATACGGCAAGCCACTGTAGCATACAATTCACAAATGCATCTATCAGTGAACATAATTTAAACTGGATTATGGTTAACCCGTACATAATAGATATGTCACCATTACATTGTTAGCAGTATAAAGTAAATGTTAGCATTTCCAGTAGCTTACTACTGAACATGTTAATTAGATACATAAAATTTTACTGATCATAGTTTAATTATGGATATTTTCAGGTGATGGCATGTTGTTTTACATGCTATTGAACTGTTTACTAATCATGTTTTGTTGCTAAGGTAAAAGGAGAGAAAAAATGTTTCCCAGTTTTTAAATTTTCACTGATTCATTGATGATCCAAATGATGGTTTGTTGCAGCCCAAACACAAAATGAATGAATTTGTAAACTAGACTTAGGGGAGTCAGACCAGAAAACATCCACAGTAACCTGAGATTTTCGATGAAATTTGCTTTGACAGATCTTGTCCTGTGCGTTGCAGGAAGGTGCCTCTGGCTGCTGAGAGCCTCCCCTCTCCATCCTTGTCAGGTACCTCCTCACAGCAGGCTCCGTCTCCCATCGCCACAAGTTCTCCCACCTTCAGCTCCCCCTCCAACACCTACACCGCCACTTTTTCTCAGTCCGCTTCTGCAGCTGGAGTGTTTAACGTCAGAGAGTCCCCTCAGCACCGCGCCCCGTCTCTCTCGTCGGGGAAAGCCCGTAACGCCTCACATAAAGCCGGTCGCCTGTCCAAAGACTTGGAGGGCCCCATCATAGGGCTGAATAGGAGGAAAAACTCCTCCCACTCCTCCACCTCCTCCTCGCCTTCTTCCTTGTTTCAGACTGTGGATGATCACAAGAGGAACGGTAGCAGCTTCCATCCACCCTTACAAGGCTTGGGGGTGGCGGCTGCCTCCCCAGCCAGGAAAAAGGGACCTGGTCACGGGGACAGTGGACTTTTGAGCTTCTCTGAAGACTGGCTGTCCAGAGTGGATGGGTCTCAAACCCACAACTCACAGAACTGGTAAAACATTTCTTGGCAAGATCTTAAAAAAAGTGTTGATGTGTGAAATAGAAAATAAGACTTTTTTTCCCCTGTGCTTCTTTGTAGTCGTGAGCTTGGCACAAGCAGCATCCCTAACACGTCTAGAGAACCCACGTCTGCCCCACATCAGCACGTGGCACCCCCCACAGGACCCTTAGCTTATGGGGGAGGAGCCGAGGGGAGGAAGAGGAGGAGTCCCAGCTCTTATAAAGGGAAGGCCAGTAAGCTGAGCAGGCCAGGCGGGTTGGAGAGCCTCTTTGGGAAAGGGGACGACAGCAGAGGGAGCCAGGCTTCTGAGCCCGAGTCCCCGAGACAGGTGGGTGTGAGAAAGACTTGTTTCAGGTGCCAAATATTAGCACGCTGTTAGCTTATTTCCAATATCGTTCTCTTCAGGCCAAGTTGCACCACTGACAGGAAGCAGTTCCACAGACAGAATGTTGGGCAGCTGTGCAGACCTCCACCGTTTGTGACCTTTGACCTCACCACTCTTCCAGCGATGGCACCGACCAGACTGCTCAATCTCGCTGGCGTTGCCCACCCCCACCCCGTTTATCCAACGACACTTGAGGTGACCCAGTCAGACGTTGGGACTCTGAAGTGTTTTTACCCACGGTCAGCTGTCCCTCGATAGAAAGCTGCTCTGTCTCGCTGTGGTCTCCTTTGTAGGACACGTTTTTTATATTCTCTGAAAAGGGAACTTGCCCCAAGTGTACCGGGCATCGTTGATAACACCGCCACTGTAGATTTGTTAGTTTCTAATCTTTTGGCAAAGAAAAGACACCCAGATGGATAAAGGACTACTGTGGGACTTAAGCTATGCCACTTCAAACCCCCCCCATCCCATTTATCCTTTTCATTTTGGTCAAAAAGAGGAGCGATAACGGCAAGTTTGGCTGGGTTTTATCCAGTCCTCTCCCCCTTTTAGCCTCTTTCTCTCTCTAACAAACCGCTTTGTTTGTTTATCGTCTCCCTTTCGGTCCCAGCATGCCTGTGTTCAAAGTGCACTTACTGTCCTCGGTTCTCCTCGCTTCCTCCTTGGCCGACCACAACGGTTCCACACGCAAAAGACACGAACGATCGCACAAGGGAAGGAGAAAGTGTTACCAATGATGCCACGTCTGTATTTCAACATAGAATGAAGTTTGACTTTATTTGGATCGTTTTTCTGGACAAGCATCCAAAATGGAGTTATTACTATGGTGTGGATTGGTTTTTTTTTCCTTGTTTGTATAATTTATCATTCTTAAACATGTTTATCTAAGTAAGCTTTGAGTTTTGAACTACAGAGACTTTTTCAGGAAAGAAAAGAGATTTTTTATGGCATTTTGAAGAAATGTTGCAAGTATTATTGTTCCTATTTGTACATATCTGTTGTTATTTTTGTATTTATTAATGATTCTCCCCTTTTACTAAATAGGAAGTCAAAGTGGGACTTTTATCCCACCTACGCTGGACTGTGCTTAACAATAATGATCAGATCGGCCTGGTTTCTCAAAACAAATAAATATATATAGATTAGTAGCAGCATATTGGTGATTACCAGCCAAGAAAAGCTGCTTGTGAACTTGGTGAACTGTTGCTGTTGATGAGCTTTTTTTTTTTTTTTACTTACCAGCTACCGACAATAAGCCCTAGTTTAACGATCATTTACCATTTCTGTTCATTATGTAATCCTGTCTGCGAACAGACATTTGATCAACCTAAACAGCTCAAGTTTTTAGATTATGTTGGAACTTTTTGTCGTATAAATTAAATTTGGTCCCATATTTACTTAAGTTTCAGTTGGATTTCCGTAGAGATCGACTCTTGTGTCAGGAGCTGATCACGCTCACCTCCCGCCTTTCCCAGCCTGCTGCAGAGATAATGGACCAGTGTGTAATGGGTTCTTAATATCCAAAGTAGTAGATTTACTACGTAATGTTTTGTGAAACCAGGCCTAATTGTATTTTCGTATAAAAGGGCCCAACTCTTGTTTTCTCGCTGTTCTACTTGTTTCTACATTTTTTTTTCTAAAGTTGGAACCTAAAGTTTCACAGTTTTTATGTCTATTTCAACTTCCAAGGCCGATGGGTCTCGTCTCGGTGTGATCATGTAGGTTGTGGTGATCTGTCAAGTCAAAAGTGGGTCAAAACGATTTCACCTACTTAACCCCCAGGTACCGTTTCACCCCCTGCTCAGTGGAACTGCAGCATGGTCGTTCCTCTAGAGGCTTCGAGTTGGAAACTGTTGAGTTAATATACAGTACTTGAGTTTTAAAGGGAATTTCAATGGCTGCTGTTCATTGGTTTACTATACTGGGTCACACGTTGGGCTAAAGGTCAAAAGTGAAGCTCCTCAGTTGGTGTTCTGTGCCCCGCCCACCTCGTGTTCAGTCACTGATAAATGGAAGAGTAACTGATAGCATGTTGCCTCTGTGGTGCTCTGACCCGGTACAACAGCTTCAGCGACAACTAACTCTGTGTTCAGACACTAAAGATAAAGTTGTAACAGATCAGAGGATACACTAAATAGTTTGGGCCACTGCCTCACATGTCTTATAGTTGATATATTTTATAAGTTAGTTTCTTGCAGCTGAATTTAATATAAAATTGAATTTTAAGATAAAATTTGTTACTTTTTTGAACAACTCCCTTTCGTTTTCTTGTCTTTGCACTTTGTCTTGTTGTTAAATAAACTTTGGTTACTTCATAGGATTAAATAAATCTATATTTAAGTATACAGGGTGTCCGCGGGGTTTTAAAAAGTATTAAAAAGTGATAAATAAAAATAGTCAAATTTAAGGCCATTAAAAGCATTAAATTTGGTCTCAGAGGTATTATTTTTTCCAAATTAGGTATTATTTTTTTCAGACTATCAGGTGTCGTATTATGAACATCAACATAGAAATATATTCCGAATGAAATGTTTTGAACGATTATAAAAACAAAACAAGCCGATTATTTGCTCCTCCCGCTTGCGCTGCCCTGAGTTGCAAATGAAGCGCTCCTCCCACAGTGTTGCCAACTTAGCGACTTTGACGCTATTTCTAACAGCTTCTCAGACCCCCTTCTTGACTTTTTAAATCTTAAAAGTACCTGGCGAACACCTCAGAAACATCTCTGGTAACCCTTAGCTACTTTCTGGATAACTGTAGTTGACATTTCCTGCAGGTTAGCTAAACACTCCGTCTGCGCTCCGGACCGTTCTTCTGGACATTAGGAAAGGGAATGATGTAGTGATGTGTCGGTCGCTACAGAAACAGCTCTCAGAGCCGGCTCCCTGTTGGATTAACCAGAGTGAGTGACACACACCGCACCTGCGGGCTCCTGAGCCGCTAAAAACGGCTAAATGTGCGCGTGCTAAACACACGTGCAGCTTGCCCCGATTGCTGTGAGACCGGGTTGGGGGTGGGGGGTGCAGCTGTGGTTGAGACAATTATTACATTAACTGATGGACTTGTAAATAAATAGTTTATAAATAAGGTAGAAATAAGTTCCTCACGCTGATAACTAATCTCTCTGAGGACACAGTGTTAGTGTACCCTCCTACAGCACCTTGACACGACTAAATAAATGTTATGCAACATTTTGTGAACATCAATTTATTTGCATTTATTTGTTATAAATGCCACTGTATAATTCTTGTTGTCAGTATTTGCAAGATATTGGTATTTGGGTCTGTACTGGTTAGACTTAAATGAGTTAAACCAAGGTCTATAGCCCTTGGGTCATAAACTATGAGCTATAAGTATATTGGTCTTTTTATACTGGGAATCAGGAGTTATTTTAGTGATCATCTTGTTTCTTGTTTATTTTTGCCCTGATTGTGCCCTGAGTAGGGCTGGGGGTAAACAAGTATTTTTAAAATGATTATTCTGACGATTATTTTATCGAATAGTCGACTATTCTAATGACTATTTAGATGATTAATCTAGCGAATATTTTTCTATTGCACAATTAATAAAAACCAAAAAATCTCAAATAAATTCTTCCAAAAAATGGATAAATTGTTACTGTAAGAGAATAAACACTACAGGCCTTCCATTTTGTATAACACTGCTTTTATTGTGTTGTGGTTGGTTTTGTTCTGGTGACGTGTAGAACTTGGGAGTGCAGGCTGCTGCCTGAGAGGTGGTTGGAGACGGAGTGTCTCCATGCTGCTTTGATTTGGTCACTTATGAGCGTGAGGCGAGTGGTGTTACGATCCTTCCTGGGGAGTTTGGCTTGTGTGCAAAAAGGAAGGGACAATAACGGGATTTAAAAGTTAAAATGATGATCAGGTTTATTTACAACTACAAAAAAACATAAATATTTCCATCCACAGGTTGGGAATAATAAAACTAATTCTGTCTGTGGGGAATTAAAACAAAAGTACAAATAACCTGGGATGTCCCACTGGGCAACGATTACAGGGTTCTGGACCAAAATAAGGATCTCCAAAGGTCCAAACTCTAAACCAAACTCGAGGTGATATTTTAAACTAAACCGAAAACCCACAACACTCTAAATGTAATAAAAGGGAGATCTGCACCACAAAAAAGATGAACTCTAAACCAAAACGTAACCGCTTATCCAAACGCAAGAAGCTGTTAGCGAAAATGCTAACAGTAGCTTTACCAACGTTAAATTCAAGTTACCACGTTTAAATAAACCAAAAATACCCAGCAGCAAACAGACCAGCATGGAGGAGAGACTGCTACCACCAAAACAGCTCTCCTAATGTCTGAAAGAAGCTCCTTTATGAAGGGAGAAGCGCTCCCGGTGATATTCTACATCTGCGGTAGAGACGGAGCTGCGCATCTGACCCCGGAAGTTGTTGTCCGTTGCCGGGAGACGAAGGCGGGCAAAACAGGAAAATAATCTAGTAGTGGACGGACGTTGTTCCGGGTCTTCGGTATTTGGCGGAGATGTTAGTGAAGGCGGAGAAGAGGGCGAACTAGAGGAAAAACAGGCAGATTCCTCCTCCATTTACAAACTCCTGGGGATGCAACAAGTGGGCGCGGTGCGCTGACTAACGGATCTGACGTCGACGAATTTTTAGAATCGAGCCGTCGACGTCATCGATGCGTCGCCACAGCTCTAGCCCTGAGCAATTTTATGACTGAATAAAAAAATAAAATAAAATATCTACATTAATTGAAAAATCATCTTAAATAATCGAGATCTCAATTTCAGTCACAATAATCGTGATTATTGTTTTTACCTTAATCGAGCAGCCCTACTTTAGCATATCCGTCACATAATGATGACGTCATATTCAGTGGTCGTTCTGCATCATTTCAGGCCTCGTGGTCAACTGTCTGAACCGCTGAACAGAAGTGCCTGGCTTATTTTCTAAGTAAAATAAATATGTGCAATACGTTGTCAACATCAGTGAGTCTCTAAGTCTATTCTTTTTGTATGTTATATATGTTAAAATATGTGTAAATAGGTCGCTGATTAACACTTGCAATTTAGTGTTGTGATGGTTTTAAAAATATTCTGAAGGTAGTAAAAAAAGGTATTAAAAAGTAGTAAATTTTACTTAGGGATTGCTGTATATACCCTGGTATATTTCTGCTCATCCTGCCCCTAAACCAGCATGTTTAGTTTTCTGACACACACACAAAGGAATGACATAATGTTGAATATGTGAACAGATGCATTGTATGAATTTGCTGGTTTATTCCCCTTAAAAACAAAGTTATACATGCTGTAAAAATGGTCTTATTAGTTTTTATTAAAAGGTTGAAAGTGAGGTGGTGTTATTTTTAAATCCAAAATGCAGCTTTTTACATTGGAGGAAATCCCCGCCATGGATGAATGTTTGTTTGTTTTTTAGTTACTGGAAGTATTGATGAAACATTTTCTGTTCAAGCAGCTCATATTTATTTATGAAAAATATTTTTGTATCATGAAGGACAAAATCTCAGTCGTGTCCTGCAAGAAAACTTTATTTATATATATTTTGTAATCTTAAATAGTTCTGTTAAAAATTGGCAGGATGGTTCTGGAATGAACATTTTAAGTTAAAATACAAAACAGTCCTCAAGGGTTAATTTTTCTGTGATGGATTTCTTTGTTTCAGGCAAGATTGATTTTTTTTTTTTTTTGTTTACATATTTAGCTGTTTATTTACATCTACTGGTGATAAAATGCTGTTTAGACTCTGCCTCTGATGGATAAAATCTTGCACCCCCATGAGGCCGATGCAGGCAGTTCTTTCATTTTCTTGTCAAAGTCTCCGTTTTTCTGAACGATGGCATAAAGAATCACATGTTTTTTAACCACATCCTCCTCCTCAACAGCTAAAAAGCGTCACTTCTGAAGTTTGAAACAGGATCTCAGACTGTGATTCAGAAGCAGCAGCTATGAGCCAATAAAACAAGTCACAACTTTAGGTTATTCTGATAACATTTCAAGCCTAATGTGGGTTCATGAAGGGATCTCTGGTGAGGATGTAGTTCATCTAGAGCTGCAGATCTTTACGTTATCTGATGTTGTAGTGAGATTAGATTAGTCATTTTGCTTCTTTTATTAAATAGTTTGCTTAAAAATGCTCCGTCTTAGCTTCCCTACATTGGCTACCTGTTAAATTCAGAATAGATTTTAAGATCCTTCTTCTCACATATAAAGCTCTTAATAATCAAGCTCCATCATACATCAGTGACCTGATTGTTCCATATGTTCCTAACCGAGCACTTCGCTCTCAGACTGCATATTTACCGATGGTTCCCAGAATATCTAAAATTAGGATGGGAGGCAGATCTTTTAGTTATCAGGCTCCTCTCCCGTGGAACCAGCTCCCAGCTTTAGTCTATGAGGCAGACACCTTATCTACTTTTAGGACTAGGCTTAAAACATTTTTATTTGATAGGGCCTATGGTTCAAATCTGATGTTAGCCTAGATCTGGACAAGTGGGGGAGTAGAGGGAGGTGGAGTGTACAGTTGGTAAAGACGGCTCTCCCTTGCCCTGCCTCCCAACATGCATCCATCTAAATAGGATAGGTTATCCAGAGTTAGCTCTGTAGTTATGCTGCTATAGGCTTAGACTGCTGGAGGACACACTGACCACTTTCCACACACTACTACTTTCTTCTACAATTTGCTCTTTAACTGTATTATTTCCTGCTATTTCAGCTGTTAACTTTATTTTTTCTCTAAGTGTTTTTCTCCCCAGAAGAAGCTACAATGTTCTGCTGAGCTGTGGTGCCCTCATGGAGGGGGGGGCATCGGCTTGAATACTGTTGCTAACCACTTAAACCACATATGTCAGACACAAGGCCCGCGGGCCAGATGCGGCCCGCGGAGTATATGTATGTGGCCCGCGAGATAAATATCACAAATATATTAAAACTGGCCCGCTGGACGATTTTACCGCAAAGACTTCAACTCCCATGATGCTTTGCGGCGTCAGCGCAGAGCCGACGCGCCCCCTCCTTTGTGTTTTTTCCAGCGCCTGCTGCCGGTGTCAGCAGCTCCGCTGTCTCGGACAAACTACACTCCTCTCACTCAGCGCCGAGTTCACTCAGCTATTTTCTGACGTTGAAGCCCAGAAACGGAGATTCTTGCCGCTCAGTAATGTGTTCACGACTGAAAGAGAAAGTTTTCCAGCTAACGTCCAGACAGAGCTAATATAACTCCAGTGAGCAGTGACACGCTCAAACCAGCATGACTCTGTGGCTGCTGTCGTTGTGTTTCCTCCCCGACACACAACAGCGTGGTCAAGCTGCTCAGACATGTTCAGCAGCACAAACCTATGTGAGCACCTGTTGTCATCTAATGTTGTCATTATTATGATGAAGATGAACAAAACGACAGGAGTCTCCTCCTCAGCTCAGATCAACCCCATGATGCAGGTATCTGGCTGGAACAGGTGAGCATCACAGTAAACCAGTGGAGCAAACTGAGCTTTAAATATGTTGGTTTTTTGCTCTTTTTCTGCTCCAAAACATGAAAGTTAACAGGTGAGACGTTGCATTTTCATTTAAGATAAAATGATATTTTTATTTTGTTGTTGGCCCGTGAGAAAAGATTTAACCTACAGTAAACAGGAAGTGGAAAGGCTGCAGATAGATGAATAGAATAGAAAATCCCTTTATTGTTCCTCAGTGGGGAAAGCTAGATGTCACAGCAGCTACGACACGTATTACAGGAGGAAAAAGGGAGAATAAAAAATAAGAAAAATGAATAAACAAGAAAACATAAATCCTGAATAGATTTTAAAAATGCTGATTATACCACAAGTAATGAATACCACTGATGCCTTTTATTTAAAACTGACTTGCTCGTGTGTAATTTGGTTATTCCACATTCAGTGTTAATGCAGAAATAAGTTTGTTTCCAAATTTAAAGGTTCAAAATTGCATATATGTTGATAAAGAAAATGCGCAAATTTGCCGTCACTTTTTCAAAAGATATTAAGTTTGGCCCTCGACTCCGTCCCAGAGTTTTCATTTCAGCCCCATGAGAGTTTGAGTTTGACAACCCTGACAAACATTCTCCCTCTCCTGATAATAACATTTTACTTTCTTTGACATTGAATGTGCTACTACTAGTTTACCCGCTTAAATATAGATTCACTAGGATAAATACAATAAAGTTTATCTCTCACCAAATAGAATATTTACTAAGAAATCACAATGTTACCATAGAAACATTACTTGGTATATATGTTGTGTGTGTTTGTGTGTGGGTGGGCTTGTGTTGGTGTTGGTGTATGCATGTGTCTGCTCTGTCTTCTCGATCCCCAGTGAGTCGTGGTGGATGGCTGCTTATACTGAGCTAGGATCCTCTGGAGGTTTTTTTCCTGTTAAAAGGGGGTTTTCCTCTCCACTGTCGCTAAATGCTTGCTTAGTATGAGGATTGCTGCAAAGTCACTGACACTGGGTTCCTTATATAGGAAACTTTTTTCTGATTGGCTTAATAAACCGACCTGTATTGGAATGTTTACTATGTGAAGTGCCCTGACACAACTCTTGTTGTGATTTGGCGCCATATAAATAAACTTCAATTGAATAGAACCAATAATATCAAATGAAATTAGACATTTCTCAACAAACATATTGAACAAATTGCAACATTTCATCCTAAATTGACTCAAATAAATTTGGCTGATCAGAGATTTCCATCTTAATGAAAATTTCAAAACAGCATTCAGGATTTCCTGTCTTTACTGAGACAAGTAATTAAAATTGTGCCCACATTTTCTAAGTTAACACACATCTCTTTCAACAACGGTAGTTATTACATCTTTACTGTTCCCCTGCTTCAGCCCCCCTCCCCCTGCGCAGTGGCCACAAACTCATTGATGTGCCTGCAGCCTCAGTGTTCCTGCTGATCTAAACATTGAAAGAGTCATTTCATATTCTGTTCCTCACTTTTGATTACCTTCAATGGTGTCTGTTTGTTGCAGCCACCAGGTACAAAAAGGAACTTGTTTTTAATATGACTATTTTTGTGTCCTGTCTTTATTATCTTCCATCTCTTCACAATCCTAAAGAAAAACTGCTACCTGGCTTCATATATATTCACCTTATAAGTTACCTTTAAACTGCAGTTCAAAAAGATCTACCGACCGCAAAAATAGCAGAGTGCGAGCTGGTTTTTCAATTATGGGTCATTGTTCCAGCTTCCTAGGAGGAACTCTTTTAAAGGGGGAGGTGTTACAGCTCCTGAAAGAGAGAAAGCATTCAATTCAAATTTCAAATTCAAAGATACTTAATTAATCCCAGAGGGAAATTAGAGTGTCAGTGTAGAGAATGCACCCATCTGACAAACAAATTTTGCTGTGCCAGTGCAGCCAGCTGATTGGCTGCTTTGGTCCATGCCCACGTCCCTCTGTCACCATTTGTCTAGCTTTGAGTAGCCTGTCATGATCATGAATGGCTGCACCTGTGGTTGCAGCATTAAAGACTGTTTGGTGCAACTCCAAACAGATGAGACTGATCAGAGATCCCCTTGATAGCTCCTGCCTATGTGGCAGTTGGTGAGACCTTTGAGAAGCTGATTTTAAAGTGCAAAATATCTCCCACAATGTGTTCAAACCTCCTCCTTATGTTGCGATCCCACGAGCCAGGTCGTAACAGTCTTTAATTAGCACAAACAATATTTTGGTTGTCCTGTACGGTGGTGGATGGTTGATGATTTGGGCCTGCTTTGGTGTCTTAAGAGGAGGGGCCTTTTGCATTTAGAGTCAACTTTATTCAAGTATAGGAAGCCCCTTCCGATCGGCTCATAGGTCTCCGAAACAAAGAAAAAATGTTAGTGAATGGGGCTGTAAAAGCTATTTTCTAATCTGCAGTGCCTTACGCCTTGGATCATAGATATGTTGTAATTTAATTTAAATGAATATAGTTTTTGTGGGTTTTGACTGTCATGTACTTCGTTAGCTTGTAAAACTGTGTAAGTGAAACAACTACAAATCTATGACGTCACAGTAGAAACTCCTCCCCAGCGCAGCTACTTACTTTCTACACGGCCTGATTTATGTTGTTTTTCTCCACGTTTAATGCTCCTGTCATCCTGGAAGAAGGCTTCGAAGCTTGCTAAACTCACAGCTATTTTCCTGTCCTTGTCTGTATCAATGATGTAGTCCTAAACGTCTTTTCACGCTAAATAAAATAATGTTTGCTGCCATTTGAAAATGAACAATTTCTTGATATCGAAATGTGTTTTTAAAATTCAGGGACATCATATGTGAAATCCATGGCGCTGTCATGTTGGGTTGTAGTTTTTTGACCCACGACATGCAGAAT